TCTGTACTGGTGCCTTTTGGTAGTCCTCGTGGTTTGGTAGACTGTCAGTTTTACCTGAAGTCATGGCGATGCATACTATAGAAATGATCCCTAAAAGTATGATCTTCATCTGAATAAAATATCTTTGTATTTCCATGCCAACAAGTTTGACTTAGACTGAAATTGGTGGTAGTGCTCCTTTCTGGAGCATGGCCTAGATTTTCGAAGCTCTCTTAGTGCTAAGATAGTCGCTAACAGAGCTTCGAAAATCTAGGCCCAGAACTTGAAAAACCTTTCAATACTCTCCTTCCACTTTTCTATATACACACCAAAACATTTGACATAATCATAACTCGTAGACATATTCCTGAAAGTATTTTGCCATTGCGGGGGATATTGATCACTTTGTCTTCGTGTTCTTCTGGCCCTGAGATGTTTTGTAGTCCTGAAACTATCTCATAAAGATGTGCAACGTTAAACAGCAATAAAACTAAATAATCCTTGTGCTACGGCTATATAATCACCTTAATATTTCGAGATCTTTTGCAATGGGGCCTGACTGTGCTGAATTTTCCATCATAAGGGATAAATATTTCAATGTAAAAACTGTTAAGGATCTTTTTAGTAATGTTAATTATCATTTCATTTTTGAAAGAAATAGAACTGATAGATGAATTTTGATTCATATGTTTTGTAGATAAATTTATTTGTAGTATTGGTGATTTAAACTAGAAACTGAATTTGTGAGTGGCTATACGTTTGAAGGGGGTTGACGTAGCATAAAAATATTGTCCTCTTGAGAGGGTGCGGAAGCCCCAAAGCATTTCAAATAAACATAATTCCTCCAGGTTTTTAAATGTAGTATTTTTATCATTTTAGTGTATGGCTAAATCTCAGCATAAACGCCAACAGCTGAACGGATTGTGTAAATCCAGCTAGGGTCCATGCAGGTAGCAAAAGTACTGTAAGTCCCCATGGATCCTAGTATGGTGATCTACCTTCAGTTGTTGGTGATCTACAGCCTGTTTTTACATAGTATACATTGTCCAAAATAGTTCTCTGCATTTAAAGATATATGCTAGCTAGTTTTAACCCATTTTGTGATAATCTAGTCATTTTACTGTCCTTCGTTGACAGGGTTTTATAAATTATGAGAGTTTATCATGAATATAGAATTTGTTTTTAGTCACGATATGGCTGAAATATTGCCGCTGTGATCTTAACTCACTCACTCACTACAATGGGGCTTTGGACATTAGTTGTCCTTCTATCATTTTCTGGAGTGGAGTGGTTACAGCCTTCGCTCTTCACACCGAAGAACCAGGTTCGATTCCCCACATGGGTTCAGTGTGTGAAGCCCATTTCTGGTGTCCCCCACCATGATATTGCTGGAATATTGCTGAAAGCGGTATAAAACTAAACTCACTCACTCACTCATGGATGAATTGAGCTACTGTTCTTTCTGTTTATTTTAGAAACTACAATCACTTTTTAAGATTTTAATGCAAAGAAAGATTTCGTGGAAACAAGATAATGATAAATTCAAGCAATGTATAATCGGTTTGTGAATAGATTTTAATCGTCTGTTTTTGTCATGCTGCAAGCGATGACAGATCTGATTTTGATGATATTGGGTTTTGCTGACAACGGGATAATGATAATAATAATACTTTATTTCCCGACAAAGGAATTCTTTTCACAACAGTGAGACATTCAGCATGGTTAGAATGAATAAAACAAAGAAAACACGCTCACCTTAAGCACACACACAAATAAACAGGATGAAAAAGATAACCAGTGTGTACTGTAATAAACTAGTAGACAAATACATTTAAAATCGTGGCTAGGTCTAACGTTCATTTAAAACTTTAATGCTAACAGGTATAAACTATGTTTTGGGACCTTTTTGTGTGAAGTTTAGAAACGAGGAATCTAGATCCAGATGATAAAAGTTTAAAACAATAATCTAAATCGTGGGACCGGCAGAGATGCCAACCACTCCGATTTTGGAAGAGTTACTCCGATTTACAAATACAAAATCCACACTCCGATTTGTCTTTAAAAACTCCGATTTTTAAAAAATACAAATATCTATATAAATTTAGAATATCTGAAAGAATTTTTTTGTAAATATGTTCGTTTAAGTTAAGAATTATCTGGTTAAGTATGCCCAGAAATTGCATTCCAAATTTGACCCCCACCGTCAAAAGGGGCCTAAGCCCCCTCTCACGCTCACCCCCAACTCACACCTTCAGGGCTCGGGAATTGCTTTTAGCAAGACATGACTCCACTTTCATTTGACTCAGGGTTGGCATCTCTGGACGGGTCTGAAAAATATTTTGTTCGCAGACATTAAAACACGATTCTTATACATATAAAAAAGGGGGTTAAAATTCAGGCCGACAATTTTTGAAGAGGTGGTTACAACTAGTAAGTGGGGTACATTGAAAATAACAGAAGAGCACTCAGCCAATCAGAAAGCGACATTTATGTGTGAGGTAAGATAAAAATCTTTGTGTCATGATGTAATGGTATATATTCTTGTATTCACTCAAGTGAGTTCTAATAAACTGTGTTCTGGAAAACAGTTTTTAAGATTTTCAGAAGCTGTTTGGTTACAGATTATGTTGTGACAATCCAAATCTGTAAATGGATAAAAAAGAAAATGATATTTAAACATGTTAAATTAATATCACATTAACTTTCAGTGAAGACAATTGTAACGCTTGAGCGGTTTAGTTTGATTCTTCAGTCGTGCATCTAAACATATTGTTGCTAAGCAGTTTTGATTATGGTGAACAAGTGAAGTGTTATTATACACAAACTAAACTGTAGAGAATTCACCCATGAAGATCGGGGCTAGAATATATCTTCAGTGATCCATGCTTGTCGTAAGAGGTGACTAGTGGATTAAATATAATCTTAAAATGAGCCCAGACAATTCTTAATTTCTGGTGCAGAGACTTGCTTAATTATTCAGGACTTGAGTTGGACTGTATCATCTAGGGTCTTGGAGAGTGTAGACCCTGTTATTCCTCATATTGATATTAATATTGACCGTCCTAAAAGCAACATTAAAAACTAAACTCACTCACTCACTCACTCCTTACCTGTGAAGATCCATGCTTGTCATAAGAGGCGACTAACAGGATCGGATGGTCAGGCTCACTGACTTGGTTAACACATGTAATCGTATCCCAATTGTGTAGGTCGATGCTCATGTTGTTGATCACTGGATTGTCTGGTCCAGACTTGATTATTTACAGACCGCTGCCATATAGCTGGAATACTGCTGAGTCACTCACTCACACTGACTGAGTTTGGTTTTACGCCGCTTTTAGCAATATTCCAGCAATATCACGGCGGGGGACACCAGAAATGGGCTTCACTCATTGTACCCATGTGGGGATTCGAACCCGGGTCTTCGGCGTGACGAGCTAACGCTTTAACCACTAGACTACCCCACCGCCCCCACTCACTCACAACTGTAAAGAATTGATTAATTTACAATTGTTTTACTTTTGTTAAGTTTCAAACCATTATGTCTTCATTGTTTAGGAGTGTTAAATACTGTGAATTTCATATAGACACTTATAACATGTCAGACTGACATTGATATTAGTTTAATTTCTTTGTAAGTCAGTACTGACGTACCTGTTAGGAAAAGAACCACAGTCTCATCATGTGCTTGTTTGTTATGACTATACCAGGTATAGCTAGCCATGCTTGACCTAGTTTGTATATTGGTTTATGTGTCTATCAACGAAGTAGGGCATCAACCTAACAAAACATTCTGCTCCATGATATGAATAATGTCGCCTTGGGCTTTGTAATAGGTGAATCATGGAAATAGGTCAAAGATACGAAGGTAGACAACTCCTGGTGTGCTATTGGGGTGAATCATTCAATGGGCATTGACACTTACGGAAATAAACCAATAGTTTATGACTAACTGTTGTTCGCGTGGATTTATTGTCATATGCTTGCCCTTAAATGTTGTTAAGTTTATTTATTTCAGTTTATTGGACTTTGTTGTATGTATTGATTGACATACATGTTTATATAAATGGACAGAAACGCAGATGTCAGTAGTAATAAATTGTTTTATTGACAGAACTGTCAGACTGCTTTTGGACCACACGGATTTATCATCTGCAGCAATTGACTGTTTAAGTTCTTGGAATTTAGGAAAATAACCTTAAAAATAAAGTTTTGATCAAAGTAATTACATTTTTTCTCAATTTGCAAGCAAAAGGCACTTACGAAGGGGCACCTGATGAATGGGCAAGGAAAAGTCCATTAATGTTGTATATGCAATAAAGAAGAAGTTGACATCCCTAATATTTTGTATAAAAATAGGCATTAGTCTGGAATACTAGATAATCCTTGCATTGGTGAATATCCTTATCAGTTCGGCTATGGAGATATCGAAACAACTATAAACAGAATAGATAACATGATCTTGAAGATGTACCTCACATTATGTTGTGACTTAGACACTGTTTATATGTTATGTGTATCATTGGAATACTCACCAGAATTTTATGTAAATTTATGTAAATTTTTTGAGGGTTACAAATTTGGGGGTAAAAATGTTTGGTCAACGGAATGGGAGACGGAATAAAATGAAGTACAGACATTTCAGAATTTTTAGGCGGGGGCTTTAGTTTTATCTGAATGATTGGCCATATTTGCATGGTTTGTTAAACAGGCCGCCTTTGTTTTGTAATTTAATTATTTTTGTGCATTTATGTTTGATCAGCAGCTTTGATGGAGTGAAATAAACATATATAATTCATGTTTCATATGTGCAGTCTCTAATTTTAGACTCTCGTGTCTAAATAATTAATGTTTTTAGTCTACCGTCCTCTTTTGTATGACTAAAATAATACATGGGCGTTAAACCAAACTAACTCACTCTTACATTAACGACAATCATCCCTTATTACTTTATGATCACTTGTAATGGTGAATATATACAGAACCAAATATCAATTTTGTGTCTTTTTTCTTCATTTTAGTCAGTTCTGTCATTTGGATACCTTGGATAAAGCTTCATGGCATCGTCAGGCGAGGAAAGTAATTGGGTGTTTGAAGATGAATCCGTAGACCTGAGAAAACGAGACGAGGTAGGTGTTTGGTTGTTGTTCTTGTATTGGCAACAAATGATCACTTCTCTGTTTACAGAAGGCGCAACTCATGGGGATTTGTCTTTGTGCAGTTTCATCCCATTAAAAAACTCGCCCATGAAAGACTGGGTTACGCCTGGCCTTTAAGGCAGCAGCCAATGCTTGTCCTAAGCGGCGACTAACAGGATCGGGTGGTCAGATTTGCTGACTTGGTTGACACATGTCATCGTATCCCAACTGCACAGCGGTATATCGATGCTGTTGATCATTGGATTGTCTGGTCCAGACTAGATTATTTACAGACCACCACCATACAGCTGGAATATTGCTGTGTGCTGTGTTAAACAAACAAACAATCAAACCAAGCTTTGAAGAAAAATGGAAAACAAACAAAGAAAAAACAGACATTAAGAAACTACAATGACCTTGAGGTTTGTTTTGTTTTCCGGTTTTTGTTAATCCATATTTTGTTGCATTTCATATATACATTTCCAGCTGGTATATACAACATAGCTTATGAAATGGACAAAGTGAATTATTTAAGCAATAGATGAAAGGGGGACCAGGATTTGTGTAAGATATTCAGTCTTGAAAATTCAAATTTCCTCACCTTGTGTAATGATGTAATGGTCATACAATTCAATTTTCGGGAACTGGAGAGCTGGAATTCTTTTTGTGATTCTCTATTTGAATATTAGCTGTTTGAAGAGAACCAATATCACATTTAAGGATCAATGTGCTTCTGTGGGAATCCGATTAAAATATTCTGTTTTTGTGAAAAACCCATTCTCAAGTAGCTGCCAGATCGGGTTTACCCTGCTACAATATGGAAGTTCTGGTTCAGTTGAGCTGGAGCTGCTAGTTTTATTGTATGTTACCAAGTCCAGCTTTGGTAACATCAGTGACCTTGAAGTTGCATCAGTTCACTGCTTGCAGTCGGAGAGACACTGTCTCGCTATACCATGTAGTTCAGCCATTACATGTATGTGGTCTTGGAAGGAAGGATCCCAGCTGATTGTTCATGAACTTCATCAAATGTACTGGATCAATTTTATTAGATCTGTAGAATTTTCAACTCCAAGGGAATAATTTTGTGTGATCATAAACATTTCTGTTCCAGTGTATCGACATGTTGATGTCCTTTAAATTATGTCCAAACCTTTTTTTAACTGATGCACATCCTCAAAACCTTATGGGGTCGTAGGGTAGCCTAGTGGTTAAAGCGTCCACTCGTCACGCTGAAGACCCGGGTTCGATTCCCCACATGGGTACAATGTGTGAAGCCCATTTCTGGTGTCTCCTGCTTTCATTATAATTGCTGGAATATTGCTAAAAGTAGTGTAAAACCTTACTTACTTACTCAAAAGCTTTAAGCCAATAATAGATGGTAGAGTGTGCGCTGTTTACTCAATACCATGATTTGAAATACATACTATGAATATGTATCACAGCACATTTGTAAAATACTGTTATAAGGCATTTTTTTGCAATGTTTATATAAGTGACAAGTTGTAATGAAATTAGCATTAGGAAATACTATTTGTGACCAACTTATGTATATGTGCCTCTCATGCATGTGTTGTGACCAGAACAACATCCAACAAAATGGCCAACGAGTACAAAGTTGCAAAAAAGATGTCAGGAAAGGTGCATGCATGGGTCCAGTTTGAACTTAAACAAGGAAAATATACAGAAACACCAAGTTCTGTCGATAGTCAACTTCTTAATTGCAATGAATGCAACGTTTCGGGTTAGACACTAACACTGTTATCAAGCACCGAAATGTCACATTCAACTTCTAAAATGCCTCTCAAAGAAGGAAAATATAATAAAAAATGTATGATATATAATCGTAACGTGACACTGTGATTCTTTTGTAAAATGGGGGTGGTGCGGTAGCCTAGTGGTTAAACGTTTGTTCCCCATGCCAAAGACCCGGGTTCGATTCCCCACATGGGTACAGTGTGTGAAGCTCATTTCTGGTGTCTCCCGTCGTGATATTGCTGGAATATTGCTAAAAGCGACGTAAAACTCACTCACTCACCACCACAACTTTAATGACGCACATGCTAGACACCATCACATGAAACTGCAATCTATGACACGTAATACATGAATCAAATTGCAGTACGAGAGTCAGGCCAATACCCATCGCTAAAAGACAGCAATTTCAATGCTACCAATTGTCCCTCTGGCACTCTGAAATATTAGCCTTTTTCTTACCAGAACAGAAATGTCAGTTGTATGTAAAATGCAACCTGCAATTTCGATTAGTTTTAGTGGACTCGAAAAGCTATACCTTATTGCAACCCTAAAGGAATTGGAATGAAATTTTAAACGTCCATATTCCATTTATTTGATTTAATAATTTGTACATGGTAAAACATGGCAAAGTATGGTTATATATACATCTGAATATGTCCATCAATAATTGTCTATTCTAAAAGTTGGAAAGATAATTGGCATATTTTGTAAAGGGTTGTGAAAATGAAAGTGCCTTTGGCGCCATGAGTGATTCTGTGGTTAAAAGTGATGAAGAAAATAAAATAGATATTGTAATTGTAACGAAATGAATATTGTCTTTCATCTCTTACAAGTTCTTACTTTGGTATGTTTATATTTGCACGTGTTTGAGAGTATTAATTCAGGAGTAAAAACTCATCTGCTGACATTATTCAATTATAGACTCTTGTAGAGGTCGATATCGTTTTTTATTGACCTGAGTAAAACAATATCGACCGAGCTTGCGAGGTCGATATTGTTTTTCTCAGGTCAATAAAAACCGATATCGACCTCTACAAGAGTCTATAATTGTTTTATTATATAATGAAAGAGAAACGGGTTTTAACATAAACTTTTAATGCACACACTGTGCCATCTATCCGAGTGATCTGATTGGCTGAAAAGCGGGGGAAGCCCCTTTCTTACGGGATTCCTTGTCTATTCTTAGTAACCCAAGTCAATATCGTAATTTATCTGAAAACTCAAGTCAATATCGTGTTTTGTAGTCAATCATGTGACGGTATTTTGACCAATCGTGGTACAGGAAAAATACAACCTATATAATAAAATACAATGCAATCATGATAATGTTTGTCATCATTTTAGACACAAAGGTCAAAAGGTCATCAGCAAGTTTCCTTGGCCCACACTTTCCTAGAGTACTCAAAGACCTGTCGACATGACATCACTCAATGCCTTCATGTCATTAAAATGCCCCACATGGGCACAATGTGTTAAGCCCATTTCTGGTGTCCCCTGGCGTGATATTGCTGGAATATTACTAAAAGCGGGGTAAAACACAACTCACTCACTCATGTCATAAAAATTTACCACAATGTGCATATGACTCAGCCGATTAGATGCCATGTCCCTGATGTGTAATCAAGTTGAATATGCTACATATATACTGAGAGAAACAAATAAGGGAACACATGAAAGTGCAAGTGTTCCTTTATTCTTCTCCATTTTTTCTTCACAAGCTTGGTTTGCTTGTATGTTGTTTTACGCCGCACTCAGCAATATTCCAGCTATATGGCAGCGGTCTGTAAAAAAACGAGTCTGGACTAGACAATCCCGTGATCAACTCCATGAGCATCTATGCAGTTGGGATATAATGACATGTGTCAACCAAGTCAGCAAGCCTGACAACCCAATTCCGTTAATCAGCTCTTACAACAAACATGGGTTTATACTTAAGACCAATTCTAAACTATGGGTTCTTCACGGTTCTGCACAAGCTTGGTATTGCACTATGGGTGAAATTCTGAAAATAAGAAACACTGAGATGAAGTCTTGTTCCCTTATTTGTTTCCCTTGGTATATTATGTACATGTTACTATGGTTACCAAGGGTGGCATATAATTTTGACATTTATGAAAGATGTGTCTTTTGTCTGTCAAATAAGCCGTTCTGAGGTTTGTTTCAAAGTGTCAATAACGGTAGGTTGAACATAGTTGATGTAAATAACGGTAAGTTTGCGCACACAATTTCACCAAGATTAATGTGAACAATATTGAATGAAATTTACAATAAATTTCATGAAATAAATTACAAAGTCTTGCACAAACCTGTGATACGTCACACAATTTCACCAAGATTATTGTGAAAAATATTGAATGAAATTCATGAAATAAAAAACAAAGTCTGGCACAAACCTTTGATACATCACACAATTTCAGCAAGATTCATATGAATAATTTTGAAAGAAATTTTGAAAAATGTTGATAAAATATATTACAGAATCTACATATACATGTTTCATAACGATACAGTGGAATGACAGGAAGCAATGGCGAACTTCAGTACGAACTGGCTGACATGCTATATCTGGCGTTCATGGTCATAGGAATGTCTTTGATTAGACCAAAAGATCAGATTACTTTGCAGCTGTATCATGCTCACCTGCGTGTTCCGTTTGTTTAACATTGAAGGGCAGGATGTAGACCAGTGTTGTAACTTGTTGTAGATATATAGCGAGCTCGGTGTGCTGTTGCTATCTTTATAGTTACACATGTCACAAATGCTGTCACATTTTTTCTCGCTGAAGGGACTCGTACACGATAATGCCCAATACATTTCTGTGGCTTTATCTTATCTGCCTTGACACAGTATCAGTCATCACTGGGTTCAACACAGTAACTTGGGGTGACTATTGATGGGGAAACAACTATTGCGATAGCGATGGTCTATTGCAACCAACTATTGCAATACTATTGCAATAGTTTTTTTCTCCTTGAATTGTCTCATTTGAAGTCAATTCCCAAATGGATGTATAGTTTATATGAAATACAAACAAGCTGAAGTAGTTTCAGCCTCTGTTAGTAGCTGACAAGAAACTTGAAACCCAGATCAAGTTTGTTTAAGACTTTACAGGGGCGGATAACTCTAAATCAAAGTTAACAAATCTGGTACTTCCTGTATTTTGCGCTGCACATTTATCAACGGAAGTCAATTACAGAACTATCGATAGTCACACATACTATCTATGCATCGATAGT